GGTCAATCCGCGGCGCCCCCGGGGCCGGCGCTCACTGTGCGCCATGCGCCCGGGGCCGGCTCTGGCACCGCGCATGCGCCATGTGCCTGGGGCCAGGCCAGCCCTGAGCACTTGGCGGGCGCAGACAAATGCCCCCGCGGGCACCATGTTGGGGACCACGGAGTTAGACCAAAGCAGAAGAGTCCTCAGGAAACTAAACTGTTGGGTGCTGCCAGCAAAGAAGAGGAGAAACCAAATGGCTCTGCATGCTGAGCCCCTTTGATGGCAGGGAATTGTCTCACCTAACTCTGGAGGTTGTGATGAGCCCTGCAAATGTTCCTTTACTCTTTGAAATTCTTGGCTTCAATTTAAAACTAAACATTTTTGTTACCGTGTTAGTAGTAGGGATGTAAGAGTGTAACTGGGTAACTGATAAGCTGCCACTTTTCAGTTACTGGCACCGGTTATACTCTTCACAGGGCTGTTAGGAACAGCAGCAGCCTCACAAGGCCAGGAACCCTCGCACCATGGGCCCACGGTTAATCATGTAACTGATAGAAATTATATTGGTTACACAGTTAATAATTTTTAAAATTTTTAACATCCCTTGTTAGTAACAGCTAGAGCAGGGGTGGGCAAGAAATGGCCCATAGGCCAGATGCAGCCCGCCGAGCCTTTTGATTCAGCCTGCAGCCCACCCTGCTGAGACCCCAAGGGTGCTCAAATGGCTGGCAGCTTCCTCTAGGTGCTGCATACCCCTAGTGGGGAAGAAGAGAGGAGACTTCATGTACTGTCCCCACCCCCAGCCCAATCACCCCTTCCATAGAAAAGTGCGGCCCCTGACCACTTAAAATCTTGGAGTGGCCTCCCATCAAAAATGATAGCATACTCCTGAGTTAGAGGCCCCATGGAGACTAGGGCCTTATGTTCACTGCACAGACCCTGATGGAGATAAGGCCCCTGTTGTGGTGGTTGCTGCACAGAACCTGACCAAGATTAGGCCCTGCATGGATCCAGGCTAGGATTAGTGCCTGATTTTGCCAGGTACTGCACAGACACACAGTGAGAATCTGTTCTTGCCTCAGAGTTTGCAGTCTATGTAGCTCAAAGGAGGGATTATCATCCCTTTCCAGATGGGAAAATGGAAGCAGAGGGGGACTGAAGGGCTAGACCCAAAAAGGGACATATGCATAGCTATGCTGTGTGTTGCAATGACTAACTCCTAGGTGCTCCGCTGCCTAGTGGCATCCTGACCCTTGAGTTGGATATCTTGACTCCCATGCTGGAGTCCCAACTCTCTGTATGGGGAGAGTTAAGCACCAAGGACAGGAATTCTCAGAAGCCAGCAAGATGAGCAGGGACCCACCTCAGTTAGCCAGGACTGAAATCTACAAGCAAGGGGGGAGTTTAGGGACCAAATTCAAAAAGATACTAAGGCACCTATTTCCCATGGAGCTGTGTCTCTACTCAGCTTGGAATTCTTAGCCATGAATCCTCTCCTGGATCCAGATGCATAAGATAGGATATTCCTTTCTTATATAAATTACAGGAAAGCCATCAGACCGAATAGCCCCAGTAGTTAGGGCATTCCCCTGGGATGAGGCAGGTTCGGATCCTTACGCCAAACATTTTTAATTATATTCAAAGTGAAACAGCTTCAACCAAAGAGAATGTTGGAGCGAGACCCATCTGAGAGTATCCTAGAGCTAGAGCATGTACATATATACTACATCTTCTAATATCTACTACCTAACTCCTGGGATGGCAGCAGATAATATCCATGTTTATTTGTAACCTTTTAAAAAATCAGTTCACAGTTGCAGGAAATAATGGGTGGAGATCAGACAATGGGGCTGTCTACACTGCCCCTTCTTGCGCAAAAAAATACGCAAATAAGACGAAGCATGGAATATCGCTGTGCCTTATTGGCATAATTAATGAGGCTCCGTTTTTGTGCAAGAGCCCCCTCTTGTGCAAGAGCCATTCTTCATGAAAAAAAGAAGAACGCCTCTTGCACAAGAGGGGTTTTTTGTGCAAAAGCCTCTTGTGCAAAAACGGAGCCTAATTAATTATGCAAATGAGGCACAGCAATATTCCACACTTTGCCTCATTTGCATATTTTTTGCGCAAGAGGGGGCAGTGTAGACATAGCCTGGGGGTTTTAGACAATAATTATTTCATGTCAGTAGATGTTGTGATTCAAAAAGTGAAAGCTTTATAACCATTAAAACACAAATTATCAACATCACATATCCAAATATACCAAGTAAATATTGTTAAATCAAGCTCCGCTAAGTACTCCAGCAGCATGTCTCTCATGTTGCTGGGCTATACATTGCAGTCATTATCAACAGAAATATTGCATCACTTTATGTGTGTGGGTGAAATTGACATCTAGCACTATTTACTGATCAAAATCTAGTCCTCCCAAGCCTACCTGTTGTCCAGTGGCTAAAGTCATCTGATAGGTTGTGGGAGACTGAGCTGAACCTGAGTGTCCCAACCTCAGGTGAGCGCATGGACCATTGAGCTACTGGCTATTTTACATACACTGCCTGACAGGTGTGTTCTGAGCATGCCTGCTGGATGAGACCCTGCTCAAGGAATGGTTAGTAAAGTTTGAGCATCCCACTGCAGTTTAGGAATGAACAAGAGTGCTGAGCAGCTCAGTAGCTGCAGGGTGACCTAAAGACTCAGTGGTTGTCTATGGGGTTAGCTGGCAGCTCAGTGTGGGGTTTGGAAATGTCAGTGGCACTTAAATGTTGAACTTAGGCATCGACAGTTAGGTTAGTCTACACAGCAACATTATTTCAAAATAATGAGTCTTATTTAGAAATAACTTAGTCCGTGTCTACATAGCAGGCAAATAATGTCAAAATACTGTCAAGCTGAAGAGCTTCTTACTCGGACTCTTGTAATCCTCATTGTACGAGGAGTAAGGGAAATCGGAGGAAGAGTGCTCTAGCTCAAAATAAGTGCTGTGTAGACACTCCCAATTTCGAAATAAGCTATTGACGTAGCTCAATTTGCATAGCTTATTTCGAGTTAAGCCCTGCTGTGTAGACGCACTCTTAGACACCTGAGTCTTTTTGTAGCTCTTGACCAAAATGATTCCTCTGGGATCACACAGGCAGTTTGTGGCAGAGATGTACATTAAGCCCAAATACCTGTATCCAATGCACACTGCTATCTTTCCTCTCCTTTGCATTTGAAGTCACCATGTAGGTTACTAATTTAATGGATGTGAAGTGCTTGCTCTGGGTTTCCAAGGAACCTGCCATGCCCACCCATTCAGTGGCTGACATGAGGCAAAATGCCCAGGCAAAGCAGCTCAAAGCCAGCACAGGGATCTAAAGGGGGAGGCAGTACTAAGCAGATCTGGGGCTCTGTATCAGCTTCAATGATGTTGTGGGAATGAGACCAGGATGGGGGAGGGGGGGCAAAAGATCACTGGCAACAATCCCTCTTTTGTTAGCATGGCTGTGATGACCTCATCCTATCCTGGGGGACAATGCCCCCCGTGTTCCCTGGCCAGGGGCTCCCCAACAATGAACCTAGTCAGGACTGGCAAGCAGAAGTGACACTGTGGGAGCCCCGTTGCCAGGGGAGTGGCACAGCTATGCCACACAAATGGGGGTGACTGGGAGAGCTGGGTCCCCACAATGTGACAGGAAGGTTAACATATGCAGGGAAGGAGAGAGCTGGGGTTTCTTGCCATTTGGGAGTTTTGAGGTACTCACCATGGTCCATCCCCCTGCGAATGCACACAAGCTTAGAGGGAGAGTAAGCCCTGGAGGAGAAAGCCAGGATTAGAACCCAACAGTCCAGGTGTGTACAGGGAAGAGGGCAAGGGGATTTAGGCCAGATGGTTATGTGCCCTCCCCCCACCAAAATAGGCATGGGGGGAAGTTGAGAGAATAAGATGATGGACTCAGATGGGACAGATTTCCCACTTCCCCATCTTACCCACCCCAGGATGAACATTTGGGGCAAGGTTTCACAGCCCTTGCTATGGTTGCACAGCAACTAGGATGTGTCAGAAATATGCCCAGAATGCAGGATGACTCAAAAGGCCCCTTCCAACCACTAGACCCCACTCTCCTTTCAGAGTGGGGATAAAATCCAGTGGTCCTGATTCCCATCCCCCCACTCTAGCTCACTTGGATCACAGTCTTGGATACAGCCTAGGAACCCTGGCTTCCACCATTCCACTGCTGCTCAATAGGTACTTTTCTCTCCCAGGAGCTGAGCAGTCAGGACTCCTGGGTTCTATCCCCAGCTCTTGGAGGGGAGTGGGGTTTAGTGGTTAGAGAAGGAAGGCTAGGAAATAGAATGCCTGGGTTCTCTTGCCATGGGAAACAGAACTCCCGGGTTCTCTTGCCAGCTGTTGGAGAAGGGAGTATGCATGTGCGCATGCAAGGTCTCCTCCCAAAGTTTGCAATGGCTCCATTCATTAGAGATTTGCCCCAGAGAAGCTGTGTCTAATCTGATTTGTAATTGGTACTAATTAGCATTAATCACAGTGGGAAACTCAGACTAGGCGCCTTGGCTGGGGCTGGGGGACAGAGGAAGCTGCTAATGAGCAGAGTAGAGCTGGAGGGGTTTGGCAAGTCCTAACTCCCCCACCTCCTTTCCCAGAGCTCAGGATAGAATCTAGGGCTATGTCTACATTGGCGTGATCTTGCACAAAAACTTTCTGCCTGTCTACACTGGCCGTCTGTTCTTGTGCAAGTAAATTGATGTTCTAATGTATAAAATCAGGGCTTCTTGCACAAGAACTCTGACGCTCCTGCTCAGGAATAAGCCCTCTTGTGCAAGAGCTCTTCCAGAAGAGGCCAGTGTAGACAGGCAACATGAATTTCTTGCGCAAGAAAGCCCTATGGTTAAAATGGCCATCGGAGCTTTCTTGTGCAAGAGAGCGTCTACACTGGCACTGTATGCTCTTGGGCAAACGCACGTGCCAGTGTAGACGCTCTCTTCTGGAAGAGTTTTTGCATGAGAACGCGCTAGTGTAGATGTAGCCTAGGTGCTTGACTCTCAGCTCCCCTGTTCTAACCCTTAGTATGCACTCCCCTTCCATGGTTCATTCCCATCAGCCGTGCTCCATTGGCCTGACAAGCATTGCCAAACACCTAGGACAAGCTCTGGTGGCTCTGATTTTTGCCAGGGGCTGGGTACAACCCTACCCGCAGGGTGATTGCGCCACATGTATATTTTGGCTCCATGTCCATGTTGCTGCTGTCCGCTGCTGTCCATTGGAACCCCCCGGTGACTGAAATGCATTTTATAAGGTGGTGTAGGAAGAGCTGTCTGGGAACTTGAGCCAGCTCGCAGCCAGATGAGGCAGAGTGTGGCAGAACGGCTTGGGAGCTCGATCCACCCACCTGCAGCTTGAGCCAATGGGTGGCATCTCCACCAGGAAGCTAGGGACACCCAGCTGAGTGCTGAAGCCGTTGGGGGCACAATGAGCAGGGAGCTAGGGCCAAGGGACAGTATAGCTTGTATAGAACTAGAGCCACCGAAATGGATACCAGAGCATGGGGCGGCAGGGTCCTAGAGCCACCCCGTCAGGCACTGGAGCCATGGGGCGGTAGCGGGTCAGGAGCTAGGCACAGGCGGCTACCGGAGCCATCGGGAGGCACAGCAGGCAAGGCGCTAGAGCCACCCTGAGCCAATCAGCACGGCCGGAGGCAGCAGCTGACTTCCGGGAAGCTGGGGCTCGGCCGACACGGAGCTGGAGGTAGAGTCCGGCGCTCAGCCCGGCGCGGGGCTGCGGGTTGGATCGCTCGGGGGCGCCGGGGAGGGGCCGGACTCGGACTGTGCCGCGGATGAATGGTGCCGGGGGAGGCTGCCCTGCAGGGCTGGGAGCAGCTGTCAGCAGCCTTGCCCCCTGGAGAGACGGCGGCTGAGGGGCGTCCGGTTTATGGGCAGCTGCGAGAATGGAGACGGGGGTCCATGGCGCCCTGCCCCACAGCTCTAGCCGCTAGGCCCTACTCTCCTCCTAGAGCCGGGGAGAGAACCCGGGTGTCCTGGCTCCCAGCCCCACCCTCACGTCCCTGCTCTCCTCAGTACAGCCCCAGAGCTGTGTGTGTGTCTGGAGTTTTAACTGGCATTTTTGGAGTCTGGTCCCTAGTGATTCTACCACTCCCAAGGGCCCCTTCCTTTGTCAGGGAGGGAATGGCATGAATCTGCAGTGCTGTCCTAGGAAATGGGTGAAGCCCTCCAGCTCCTCCATGCACCAGGTGGCCTTGGTGCAGGAGTCCTTGGGGAAAGGGGGTTCTCAGTGGGAGGTGTGCAGTGGGGATGGCATATGGGGCCTATTTGGCTAGCTCTTGGGGGTAGGGGAGCAGCATGGGATTGCCTCTCTGGGACAGTGGGAGACAGATCTTTGGGAGAGTCGGGGAAGCTCAGTGCTCTGGGGCCAGTTCTCTGGCAATGGCGGGGGGCTGCCACCCATGGGTCTGGATCTCCAAAGTAGTAAGGGGGCATGGAGAGAAATGTGGGGAGGTACAGTGTCCATGGGGCAATCAGGGGCATGTGGTGCCCAGGGGATCAGCTCTCTGAAGTAATGGGGGGGGGTGTCGTTGCATAGGAGCAACTCTTTAGGGTAGTTAGGGAAGGGTGCATGGTGCCTGTGGAGTCAGCTCCCCAACGCAGTGTGGGGAGGGGAGGGCAGCTCTCTGTAGTGTGGGGGGAGGAAGGGTGGTAGCCTGACATAGAAGCTGAGTGATCCCTATCTTTTCTTCCCTCCCAGATGCCCTGAGTCTGTGTTGGGTAGAGGGAGTTGCATAGGAGCAACTCTTTAGGGTAGTTAGGGAAGGGTGCATGGTGCCTGTGGAGTCAGCTCCCCAACGCAGTGTGGGGAGGGGAGGGCAGCTCTCTGTAGTGTGGGGGGAGGAAGGGTGGTAGCCTGACATAGAAGCTGAGTGATCCCTATCTTTTCTTCCCTCCCAGATGCCCTGAGTCTGTGTTGGGTAGAGGGAGAGCAGGGAAGCAACATGGACCCTGAAATCTCCATCATGCTGCAGTGCCCGTCTCCCAAGGGCCTGGTTGAGACAGATGTGCAGGCAGAGCTCTCCCCAGCCTACGACCGACGCCAACTGCCTGGGACCCAGACCTGGATTGATGCAGTCTGGGAGGCCCGGTGCCACCACAACCCCTGGCTTTTCAATGGCTCCAAATTCCGGTTGCACTCAGCCCAGTTGGAAGGGGACTCCCTGACCTTTCGTCTGGGCCTCACTTGTTACAAGGATTTCCTGGGCACCAACCGAGCTGGCATAGCCAGGCATCTCCAGCAGCAGGGATGGCAGGACTTTGGGGACAGCCAGGCCTACCTGGCAGAGCCACTGGGTGTGGGTGCCATGGTGCATACCTCTGATGACTGCTTCGTCTTCCTGCGGCGCAGCCTGAAGGTGGGCGAAGCACCTGGCCTCATAGATATACCCGGTGGGCATCCTGAGCCACAGGTAGGTTCCATCCAGCACCCCTAGAATGGAAAGGCCCCGGATCCCATTCTCATCATCTGAGCCAGCCAGTCCCCTCCACAATGGGAAACCTTCCCACCTCCTGCCCCCATTGCACATCCCCTGGACTCCCTGTAAGCACAGGAGTGTTTTCCCTGCCATCTTACTCCCTTGCTGTGTTCCACCCCAGAGGTGGCTGCATTTGCTGACATGGAGTGTCTTCCTCTACTGCAGGCTGTGATGGGGGATATCCCAGAAGAATCCATCCGTTTGGAAGATCTGCCCAGACCGCTGGTTGTTAAGGAGATCTTCTCCTCTATTCTGAGGGAGATCCGAGATGAGGTGAGAGCAAAAGTGCATTGGCTGGTGGTGTGTCTGTGTTCTGCTGCCCCTCACTAACCTGTACCCTGCTCCACAGGTCAATCTTCCATTGCCCACCCTAAGCCAGCCAGTGCTGTTGGGCATCGCTCGCAACCAGACCAGTGCCGGTCGGGCCAGCGCTGAGTTTTATGTCAGGTAATAGGATTGATTCAATGCACGGGGAGGCCCAGAGGGGCTATGCCTGGGGTCCAGGACAGCTCAGGAGGCAGAGGTCCAGTTTGGTGGATCTGGCTCAGGCACAACTGCGGCTTAAACCCGTGTCCTAGTTATTTGGATCTAGAAGTTGCAGCAGTTAAAAGAACCCTGAAATTGGTGATTGGATCTGTCCTATCAGCAATTAGGTGCAACTTCCCCCCATGTCCTAGAGCCCTCCCCAGCCAAAATAGATGTAGTAGCACTGTGCCAAGATTGGTAAGACACCAATCTTACCTGTCCCTTTGTGAGACCCCAATCTCACAATGGGTCAGGTATTGGACAGCTCCTGACTGGGATATGGGGCCCCCGACATGCCAGGCGCTGCACAGACACAGCGAGACATAGTCCCTGCCCTGAGGATCTCGTAGCCTAACTAGACAAAAGAAGGATTGTTAACCCCCTTTTATAGATGGGGAAATGGAGGCACATAGCTGGGATGTGACTTGTTCACATCACACAGAATCAGTGGCAGAGCCAGAAATAGAGCCCAGGTGTCCTGAGTCCCAGTCCTGTGCTGTTACCACAAGGCCAGACTTCCATTTTGCTGCCCACAGGGATAGAAAATAAATGGGGGTAACTGCCATTGGGTCTCCAACCTGATTTGCCTCTGTTATGCTAATGGAGCTGCCCCATGTCCCAGATGCAGCCTGACTTCGGAGCAGGTGAAGCAGAGATATGAGATCGGGGGGCCTGAAGCACAAGAATCCACTGGCATCATCTTCGTCAAGAGAGAGGTAAGAGGAGGGCACAGCCTAGCAGACGGGAATAGAACCCAGAAGGAGTCCTTATGCTCCAGTCCATGGGGATCTCACTCCCCTTCTAGGCCTGGGAATTGAACCCAGGCGTTGTGGGGGAGTCCCTGCTATCCCAGTTCCTGTGGTCAGTAAGGATCACACATGAGTTCTGGGAGGAGACAGCAGGCACCCTGCCTCTTCTGTCCCTGGCACTGAGCCCGTGATGTCCCTGTGCTTCTCCTGCAGGATGTCCTGACTCTGGAGCAGACCGGAGAGATGTGGAGGGAGCTTTGTCCATCTGCCAAAGGAGCTGTCAGACTCTACATGCTGATGCAGGGTGGGGGGCAGTGACAGGAAGGGGACTGACTCTGAGGCCATCATATACCAAACGGGGCATCAACAGACCCTGCACATGCCAGCCCTATGTTGTGGAGCCAAAAGGAGGGGGATTACTGCAGGACCAGACTCTCCTCTCCAGGGGCAGGGCCCAATTGTGGTTTTTTTTAGCCTTTGCTGTTAAGAACCCATCTGCCAATAAAGAACTTTATTCTCTGACACAGCAGCAGGTGCTAAGCCACTGGCATGATCCTATTTTCCAAAATGCACTGGGCTGTCCCAATGTGGAATGAGGCAGCAGCAGCTCTCCATACCTTCCTATCTGGATGATCTCAGCCAGCTGCTACCAGAGCTGAAGTGTTTTTGGGGGGAGGAGGACTGGCTGGCTCATGGGAGGGCAGAGTGGGATCTGGCACCTTTCCTTTCTCCGCGGTGCTGGCTGGAGAAAGGACATGTGGCCTTTTTCTACTTTAGCCCCTTCCTCAAAGGCTACATGAGCGCTAGGGGGACTCCCTATGCCTAAGAGCAGGGATGGTGCACCCATGGTACTTTGGAGGGACTGGGGAACCATCCCCATGCTAAGGGGAATGGGAGACACTGAATTCCCCAAGCTCTCTGGCCTGCATTGTCCAGTCTCATCATGTGTTGGCAATCCCAGCTGCTTCCTGCCCCAGAGCTGGATACAGCACTAGTTGCTCATGGTGATAATACAAAGGCCTCTGCCCCATCTTGCCTCCTAGAACCAGGGAGAGAAACCAGGAGTCCTGACTTCTAACCTCTGTCTCTAACCACTAGGTCACACACACCTCTCAGATTCAGTCCTGGGCTTGGAGGGGAGTGGGGTCTAGTGGTTAGATCTAGACAGGCTCTTTCCCCAGTCAGAGCTGGGCTGTGAATGGAGATGGTCCTGCACATCTATAGATGCCCTATTCAGGCTAAAGGTGTCAGCCATAGGCATCCTGGGATGTTGGGCCCCTGCAGATATTAATCCTGGTCTCGGCCAGCCCCGAGGGCAGTTCAGCCCCTAATCGGCTCAAGGAGGGGTGAAAGACTAGTTTGATGGTGGGGTCTGGAATCCTGGCTTGTTAATTGTGTTCAAGCTGCCAATAAGCTGGATAATCAGAGCTGAGTGGGGGAAGCGGCTAAAGCCTTGAGATGTGGCCTTCTCTCACACCATCCCAGCCTAGGGTCCCCCCTGTGGGGGGGAAATGCACAGATCCTTTGCCTCCTACACCATCTGCCTTCTCTCAGGAAATTTTCCATGCCCCAAGCCTGATGTCACACATCAAGGTGATAATCAGACTTAGAACTCACACCCAGTCCTGCTGCTGTAAGCACTAGGCTTCCCCCCCCCAAAGAACTAATATTAAACTTTAAAAATGGGTAGTCCTGTGGCACCTTAGTGACTGATGTGTATATATATAGTATCATGAGCTGTCATGGGTAAAACCCACTTCATCAGATGAGATGATCTTGAGTCATTAATATTAAACTTATTATCATAATGTTCTTCACAGCTGCCTTGGCTGGTGGAATGAACTCGGCCAAGTGTGCTTGAGTCAGGGCTTCCCCCACTTCCCTGCCATCCTTATCACTGGGTGGTGCTGGGGAAAGGGCTCTCTGCAGCAAGGTGAAAGGTGACTCCAGGAGCACAAGCCCTGAGCTGACAGGAAGTGCTGCCACAAGCCAGCCTGACTCAATGAGTCACTTCCTGTTGGCCAGGCTGCCTCTCCCCACGCTTTAACCCTTAGACTCCATTACCTGCCCAGAGCTGAGGATAAAACCCAGGAATCCGGAGTGATTCCCAGCCTCTGGGTCAGGGAGTGAATTGCACAGTCTGGGTGCCTCCCCCATAGTCTCAGTTTACCTGTTCTTAATTTAATCCCATTATTTCCTGGTTAACCCTCATGACATACCCTTTCCTGTCTTTCCCACCACCCTGGCTTAGGGTGGGGCTGGCATCTGCGATACTTCCTTCTGCAGCAGGGCCCTTCAAACCTCCTCCACTCCCTTGCAAACAGGAGACCCAACATCTGGCAGCCAGATTTGGAGCGGCCTGCAAAGCGGGTGTGGGGCGCCACCGTGTGTGGCCAGGAAGCACTGCTGGGATTGCCCAGAGTAGAGAGACAGTGTGGCCGTGACTGGAGGGGGATGGGTGGGTGGCTATGGGGCGGGGCAGGGCAGGTGGGGAGAGGGAAGGAAGAAGACCCCTGCGGAGCTGCAAAGCTGTCTGTTTCAGCGAGGGAAGCTATCACCTCACCTACCCTGCTTGGCCCAGGTGGGCAGGCCTAGGGACAAGCAGAACGTCATGGTCAGGGATGGAGGATGAACCCTGCTGCCAGGGATCGCCCACCCCCGCGGGGCAGAATGTTCCACACGCTGCGCTGGCCCGTACAGGAGCTGGGATAGCGGACTAGATGGGCTCCCACGGCCACCTGAAAGACTACAACTCCCAGAGGCCTTTGCGCCCCCACAGCAGGGCCTCCCCGGCCACGTGCTTGCCCAAGATGTCTCAGGCCTGGTGGGCGGGACTGGGCAGCTTTATTATAGTGTAGCTGTAGGGAGAGGCGCTGTCAGTCTGGGCTGGGTAATCGCCCCCCAGGGAAGGGGGCGCTGAGAAGGGAGTCGGCTCTAGGCAGGAAGGTGGGATTGGTGGGGAGGGGGCTCTAGGAACAGGGTAACTGAATTGGGTGTGTTCTAGGAAGGCTGAGGCTGCACGGAGCCTAGGAGCCACTAGCATGGATCCAGGGAGGGGAGAATCTCCGCAGCCCCTCCCCGGGGCTCTTGGGAGAGGGGGCAGGAAGCCTCGGAGTCGAAAGAGGCACCAGGACCAGGTTAGAGATGGGGGTAGGGGTGGTTGCTATTGACTAAACTCCAGCCAGGCTTTTCTCATCACTGAGCTGGTGACACCTGTCTCCATGGCCAGACTTCCTGCCGGGTTCCCCCCTTCAGGTCAGATTTGGTTGGGTGAGGCCAAGAGCTGACAGGAACCCCCCTCTAGGAATGAGATGGGAACAGAACCAAGGAGACCTGGTTCCCAGGCTTCCTACTCTAACCCCTGATACCCCTTTCTTCCAGAGCTGGGAATAGAACCCAGGAGTCCTGGCTCCCAGTGACTTATTCAGACCCTTCTACTTGTGGTTGCTGGTTGAGGGGGATATGTGTGGTTTCCTCTGGGAAGAAACCATCCCACCTACTCCTACCCCTCTCCCTCCCCCTCCTTATTCCTTCCATTCTCTGTCCCCAATTTCTCTTTCAGAACCCAGAAGTCTGTCTGTCCAAAGCCTTGTCCTATGTCCTGCGTCATGGAGCAGCACAGTTGGGGCTGGAGATGAGTGCTGGTAAGTGCACCCACTCTCCTACAGGTCTGCTCCCCCCCCCCCAGCTCTGCAGGCTGGCTCCTTGGGACCACCTCTCCCATGGAGGGAGCACTATTGAGTCCCAGCAGAAAGGACTGAGGAGGGGACCCCATTGCTTAGATTGGGGGGGGAAGATGGAATAGTGCATGTTGGGGGGAGGCAGAGATCACCCTCAGTGAATGGGGGATGGGTTAGGTTGTATGAAGGAGAGTCGGGTTATGGCCTAACCATTTCTTGGTGGGGGGGAGAAAGACAGGGTGGCTTTTTTTGGGAAGGGGAGGGGGCAGGTTTCACCTTTGCTGATTGTGGGAAAGGGGAAGATGGAACAAGCTGAACAGGATGGGGAGGTGCCTACGTCTGAACCTCACAGTTGTGGGGTATGTGGGGAGAACCAAAAGTGTGGAGAGGGGGTCAGGTCTGGGCTAGCCCGTCAGAGGGTGGGAAAGGGGCAGGGAAAGTGAGGGTGATAGCTCTTGGCCTAGGCTGTTGGGATTAAGGATGTAAAAAGTCAGTTAAAAAGGTAACTGTGTAACGGCTGAAAATCTTAGCAGTTACATGCACTGCAGGCTCTGCCGTATAAATCTTAAACAAGCTTTATGCTACAGAGCCTTCAGCAAAACTTCCCCAGGGCAAGGCTGCCAGACCCTGCCAGCCCAGCTCCTGGGGATGTAACTTTCCTGCGGCAGGGAAGCTGCCTCCCCAGGAGTGGGATTGGTAGGGGCTGCGAGCTCTGCCCCGGGGAGCCACCATGTAACCTGCAGAAGGGGGCTGTACCAGGCCCGCCACAGACAGGGGTTCCTCTGACTAGCTGGCCAGAGCAGCCCCTGCCTGCAGTGGACCCCAGTTAACTGGAACTGGTAAGCAATACCTGTTTAGGGTGAAGTTAACTGGCTAACCAGTAAACCTTTCACATCCCCAGTTAGGATGCAGGGAGGTGTCAGCTCTTGGCCTAGCCCATTTAGGATATGGGAAGCAGGGGTAGGGCAAGTGAGGGGACAAGCCTCAGCCTAGCCTGTCGGGGTGCACAGAAGGGGTCAGGTCTAGGTTAGCCCCTCAGAGTGTGGGAGGCGGTAGGGTGCAGAAAGGGGGACAGGGCTCAGCCTAGCCCATCGGGATGCAGGAATATGTCGGCTCTCGGCGTAGACAGTCTTGTCTGTCTCCCCTCCCCAGATGGGTTCGTAGATGTGGCCTCTGTGCTAAGCTTGCCCCGCTTCAGGGGTGTCTCTGTGGCCGACGTGCAGCGTGTGGTGGAGACTAACGAGAAGCGCCGCTTTGCCCTCCGCCCCCACCCTGGTGATGGGCACTTGCAGATCCGGGCCAACCAGGGGCACTCGCTGCAGGTGCTGGGGTAGGGGTGGTTGGCAGCAGAGAGGGCTCCCTCTACTGGGGAGGAGGGAGGGAGGAAGTCAAGTGGAGTGGGCAGGGGGATTCTGTGTCCTGGGCCCCCAGAGTGTGGGGAGTGGGTCAAAACAGGATCCTCGCTCCCAGGAAGAGTCAGAGGGCAGGACAGGATCCTTGCTTCAGTGGATGGGAGGAAGGGGCACCTGGCAAAAAGGAGAGACAAGAAAATGGAGGCTGGGAGGTGTGTGCCAAGAGGCTGAGGGAAGCACACAAGGGAACTCTAGGCCAGAAGCCCCATTGCAATAACCCTCCATGATCCATCCCCTTCCCAGCAGGTGTCGGAGCTCGAGCTGACCCCATTGCTGGAGCCCACAGACCTGCCCCAGACCATGGCCCATGGCACCTACCTGCGACACTGGCCAGCCATCTGCCAAGGGGGCCTTTCCCGCATGGGGCGCAACCATATCCATCTAGCACCTGGGCTACCTGGGGATGGGCATGTCCTCAGCGGTGAGTGTGCACCCTGTCCTGGGCAGAGAGCCCAGCAGTCCTGGCTCTGAGGCCCTTCACTCTGTCACTACACCACACTGCCCTCCCTTGTGCCCCATTCCTGCAGAGCTCTTTCGGGGGGAGGGGCTTTGGCCCCAAGCGACACTGCTGGTTCTGGGTTCAAAGCCCAGTCAGCTAGGGGTGTGTGGCTGGGTTTGGGAGCTACCCTTCATAGCCAGCTTTTAACCACTTCTCTGACTACTGATCCACAGGGATGAGGCAGGACTGTGATGTAGCTATAGTGATCGATGGGCCCAAGGCATTGGCAGGTAAGAGGTGAGGGCCCTCTTGGGGTGTGGGGGGGGGGAAACCAAGAAGTTTCCTCAACCCTTCCAACTGAGACCCTTGCTCAGTAGCAGAACCCGGAATCCTGGCTCCCACCCTCCTCTACCCTCTCAACTGCAGTCCCCACCCTGACTGGAGGGTAGAACCCAGGGCTGTGTCTAGACTGGCCAGTTTTTCCGGAAAATCAGCCACTTTTCCGGGAAAAACTTGCCAGCTGTCTACACTGGCTGCTTGAATTTCCGCAAAAGCACTGACGATCTCATGTAAGATTGTCAGTGTTCTTGCGGAAATACTGTGCTGCTCCCGTTCGGGCAAAAGTCCTTTTGCGCAAAAGGGCCAGTGTAGACAGCTCAAATTTGTTTTCCGCAAAAAAGCACCCATCGCGAAAATGGCGAAAAGTGCTTTTGTGGAAAAGCGTCCGTGCCAATCTAGACGCTCTGTTCCGAAAATGCTTTTAACGGAAAACTTTTCTGTTAAAAGCATTTCCGGAAAATCATGCCAGTCTAGACGTAGCCCCCGTGTCCTGGTTCCTGTGGCTCTGTGCCTGTGTGTTGCTTCCCCTGCAGATGGGATCCAGTTCTATCGCTCTGCTAATGGAGTTATCCTCTCGCCGGGTGATGCTGAAGGTTTCCTGCCTCCCCAGTACTTCCAAAGCGTCCTGCAGCTCCGGCCTGACAGTAAGGGCCTCCCCACCCTGTTTGTCCTTCTAGGGGAACTTGGCACTGTGGAGAGGTCAGACTGGCCCACCATCAGTTCCATGAACCCCACCCACTAGAAAGAATGGAAGGCATGTGCCATGGCCATTTAGCAAATGGAAAGTCCTGACTCCTGCTCCCTCTGCTAATTTCCACTGGTTTTCCATACCCCTTCCTAAGCTGGAGTAGCACCTTGGAGTCCGGGAGCAATTCCCACTCTTCCACAGAGACCGAGACCTGCCTGATATGGTGAGAGCTTGGTTTATTACTCAGTTTGCTGTCCCAGACAACATGCCTCACCAGCAGCCTGTGGCAGAATCCAAGTGGCCGTAGCTTTGATCTTGTCCCAGAGAGTGGCCAAGAAGTGTCCATGGGCTGGTGTGAGGTGCAGGGTCTAGTCAGAGGGCAGGTGGGTTGGGGGGAAAACCAATTGCTGGCAACATCTTCCTAAATCCTCCTCCTCCTCTTTTTCAGGGCGTCTGCTACCCCTCACGTGACCCACACTGGGTGGGGCCCAGCTCCAGAGCCATGACATGGAGAAGAATCAGGGTGGGAGAGAGCAATATAAAAAACTCAATTCTTCCATCTGCTGCAGCCTCTTCAACTATCTCTTTGCTAGGTTTGCCACACTTAACCCCCTCACCCTACATGCAGCTGGGGCAAGTGGTGCTTGCAGGGGACCTGTGTCCCCTCCTTCCCTGAATGGAGCACATACCGGTGTGCTGGGGTGGCAAGAGGCATGAGAAGATGGGTGGGCTAAGGGGTAGGTTGGGCTGGGAGTGTGTAGGCCATTGAAGGATGGTGTGGGTAGTGGCCTGTAGGGGACTGATGGGCAGGCACTGGGAGGCTGGATTGGTTTGCTGGATTGGTTTGCTGGATGAGTGGGGAGGGCAGGGGCTTGGGAATGTGTGTAAGGACTGGTTGGCTGGTTGAGTTCTGTATGGTGAGGAGAATGATTTGGGAGGTAGGAGGCTGACCCCTGTGGGTGGGGTCAACATTGACCCCAGCTCTTCTCCCCCCACCCGCTACCCAGGGGACAGTGCTGAGTGCTCACAGGGCCTCATGGCCCCCCGTCAGCTTGTAGAAAAGCTCCTCGTCGAGGTCCCGGCCTTTGTCGACATTGCGAGTGGACAGGAAGATGTAACCCCCAATGTATTCATGCACAATATTGCACCCGGCTGACACGCAGCTGAACGCCACGTTGATGTGCTCATCAAACTCAATCGCCACCTGGGAGAGAGAGGACAGCAGTGAGGGGCTGGTTCTGACACACAAGTTCTGGCTGTTGGCCGCCTCCCCTCCTCCCCCTTATTTTTATTAGGAAGTGGGAAAGGAATAGTTAGGGTTCCACCTTAACCAAAATGGAACCAAAGTGCTGGCATGTAAAGTTAAAGTTAAAAAGGTTGTAAAGGAGTTTTTAAACCAAGGACGAGGGGAAAGCCGAGGAGCACATGGTTCAGGCAGAGCTATCCCTTCAATTTATTCAAGGGCAAACTTGATATCCTGTTGTGGAGGATAGGAAAGAAATTGGTGAAGTACAGACAGAAGCTGGTTAGGACTGGTCAGATACACCACTCATTAAAACATGACACATTAAAGACAAGTGACTAAAGATTGATCAAATGTACAAGGGCTTATATACAAATGCTAGAAGTCTAAATACTAAGATGAGTGAACACTGGTTTTTAAACTTTTCTCTCATGACCCAGTTGAAGAAAATTGTTTATCTGCAACCCAACATAATTCCACTAGAGTGTGGGCCCTGGGGTGGGGTTAAGGATGAGAGCTCTGGGGTATAGGAGGGGGCTACAGCTTTGGTGGGGGTCAGGGCTGGGGCAGGAAGAGCTTACCTTGAGCGGTTCCTGATCAGAGATTCAGTTGGGGCGCGAAGGCAGCTTCCTGCCTCTCCTGGCTCCACAGACCATGCTGCCCTCAGAAGCAGCCAGCAGCAGGTTCCCAGCCAATAGGAGTGCAGAGCTAGTGCTC